AAATTCGAAAGTATCAAGTATTTATGTCTTTATCTAGGAATTACTCCCAAACATTAGATGGCTTCATTACATTTACATAGGAAACTTTCCTTTGATTGAAAAAAGTGTTGTTGTATGTGCTTTACGCAAAATCGTCAATTTAACCATAGGACACCTATCACTAAACTCACTGAGGTAACATAAATTGTCAACGGATAAAAGTCGTTTATGAACGGCTAGCTAGAATTCTCATAATTTTGAGTTAGTGACACGATGATACTGTAATACCCGAAAAATAAATTAGCAATAAACATTTTCTGGAACGGCTTTTAGGAGTGGCAACCAAGAAAGCAATAATAAACTGATGTATAGATTGATAGCAATTATTTGTTCCTACTAAATGGAACAAGAGTAAATCTCTGAATAACTCAGAAACTAACACGACATACAAAATGTTTTTAATGGTAGCCTTTTCATGATCATAATATCTGACCTATCTTCTATAGATTAGATTAGTTACTGATTGAAAGTATTTTAAGATAAAATAAGATTCATGAAAAAGTATCAAAAATCAAGATACAAAAGAAATGAATAAAATTCAAAATTATTTTTAAAATAGATTAACACCCCTCGGCAAAAGCTTGCGCATTTTTCTGGGTCGAAAAGACTTGGAAAGATGAATCGATTCATACATGTCTACAGAAATGACGCCACTCAAATCATTACCAGCAGTGCATTCGAAAAGTCAGCTTTGCAGACCTCTGAATTTCCAATGTTTTGTAAAGCATAAAAAAGACGTGCGATGTAAAAATAGACATGCAAATCACCTTTCATGACGGCCATGATGCATAGCAGCTCCATCATCTATTGATCAGTTATTCCTGTATCTATGTTTGATAAAGACATATCGAAGAGTGATTTTTCCATGCTGCAGCAAGAATGTACTTAAAAACTGTAAATATTGCAACTAAGGCCTTCCAAATATAGACAAACAGTTTCTTACAGCAATGGCATTTTAATGCATTTGTAGAAAAATGACTGTATTACGATTGTACTAAAAAGCAGTGACTTTTGTAAAATCTATTTCATGAGGTTGTCTTACTCGATTTTTATTCAGTTCAGCTAATTTATCAAAAAAGTTTAAGCTATTCGGAAAAGGAAGTACATTCAGAAATTGGAAAAATAAATTTTCTCCCTAAATCAAAATATCTGGAATACGTTCGAAAATAAAGGCTCTTATTTCTGAGAAGTTTTGAAGTTTTGAAAGAGTGAATATGTACTACAATGAAGTTGATCAGAAAAACCAGGAAAAATGCATTTAACTTCTCCAGAAAGCCAGCACTTCTTCAAGTTTTTCATTTCAGCAGGTTTAATTTACAAGTTTGGGACTCTCGACTTTTTAGAAGAGTTGACATTTTTCGTCAGTTAACATTATTATACACAGTTACATTTGTTCTGAATTCTATAAATAAACTCCAGCTACTAACAAATTCCATTGCTAGAAGTCAAAAATGGAAAGCAATTTAAAAAATGGAAAGGATAATTTCACAGAATAACCATTTACGAACGCCATTATGTTACCGTTTTTAAAATAGACACGCATACAGACATAAACGCAAGTGTATACAAATTATTCACATCAATCTCTTTTTCTTTTTAATTTTACTGAAATTAGAAACAAATCAAAAGAAAGAAACCCACATCAAAATATTTTCAGTTGTTTGATAAGTAATTAGATATATTAAAATTCTTCCTTTGTTTTTGGAGAGGGATCACAGCCAATCAAAAAAATAACGGAAGCTTTTATTGTCAAGTATTACTTATTTTTTGGCAATCACTAAACTAAAAAAACCTGAAACGCGCTAAATTGCAGATAAAATATCACCAAAAAGTAACTTTTGTAGTACCTTTCATATCATACTTTTGACGAAAAAAATTGAATCTTAAATTTTTATAACAGTCTTAAAAATTTGGACATCTGCTTGACGTAGAAGTTCTGGTCCAATTTTATTCGAATCAATATTCATCAAAAATGAGATGAAAACAAAGGTAAAAGTAACATCCACAGTCAGTTCACGGAAAAAAAAATGAGTTTTTCAAAAAGATTAAAAAAAAAATTGGGAGGTAAAATAAAGTGCTTTCAAGCCCTTCCTAACTGGATCATGGCAAGCCGGTTTCTAAGCCAATTTATGAAATTCGAAAACTGTTTTGAAAATTTATAGAGTCTCAATGAAAATATTATCATCTTATCACCTATGTTTTCACGTTCATGTATATGATGGGGAATCCTACAAAACTGTAATATGTACTGCACTTACCTGCTGCTTTTGATAGATAGTATCCATAAGGATTCTTGATTCCAATATATTCTTTTCTGGAAAATGAAATTATTTGAAATTTTCCTGCAAACATAAGAAAAGTAGGGTAAAAGCCACTTTCAGTGACCTATCAAACGAATAAAACCACAAGTCTAAGTTACAAAAATTCCACACAAAATCAAAGTGCTGTGCTTTAAATGTGAGAATAACAGTCATATGGACATGTATTCCAATAAACATCAATAGTAGCAAAATTGGTAAACGATTGTGTTTCCAAATTTAATAAAGTGAAGCTCACCACTGTGTTCTAAACGAACCACAATAAAAGTAGCGCCTTGATGCTCTGGCGACGCTACACATGCGACATGTCCTGTACCCTTGTCGTCCCATACCCGCTGATCGCAAAGCACATATAGTTTTACCCGATTTTTGACTTCCTGGAACTAATAATTATTAGCTGATGAGCTTGGAACAAGTTAGTTTATGAGTTTGGAAAAAGTAAAATCACTAAGGATTTATGTTACTTCTTAGTATCCCAACACTAAAATCAACATATTTGCGTTTTTTTTGCGTTATATGTGTTCCTTTTTTGAGACACTCGCTTTTCCATTGATTATTTTGACCGATATACAATCAAATTTCCAAAATGCTTTGTCGTATCAGAAAATAAAATAACCCTTCGAAACATTCGAAACTGTGCATTATTTAAAAATAATTGATTCTTCTGGAAGATAGTCGAAATAATTGAAATCAAGACTATCTATTTTTCACAGACTTAGATAGAAGTTTCTTGAATTTTCACTGTAAGCAAAGCAATTGAAATATTTTGATTTTTTATGATTTTTGATAATTCGAAATAATTTTGTTAAATATAGCACCAGAATTTACCCGCTGTATTGCTATTTTCGCCAGATGTCTGTCGGGATCCTCATCCTCAGCATCTTTGTCTGCAATTTTTAAGCCTTTACACTCCTCATGGATGTTACCGCTGTTGTCAGCAGTTTTTGAATGTGTATCATCTGGATTTCGAGCATTTGCATCGGTTTCTGGCATATCGCTTCCTGAAAGATTCCTTCACAAATGGAACCCAAAATGTTGAATGAGAATGTGTCATAAAAACTTTCCAATGCATATGATGATTATTAATCGACGGTTGCAAAATACATATGGAATATGACAAATAAAAGGCAAGGACAGTGGAAGAGCTGTTCAATAAAATGTTGAAAAGAAGTCTCGAGAAGCGTCATTTCCTGTACGTCCACAAATATAACACATCCAATTAGAGATTCACAGAAGTGCATATGAACAAGAGAAGAGAAAATCGCAATGTTACCTTGCTTACAAAATTTAAAATTCCGGATAATCAACTTTTAACCGGCTTCACGTGCAGCATGCCTGCAGCGCCTACATAATGGTGAAGATAATTGCATTATAGCGTCATGGATCAATATTGCTTATCACAACTCTTCATATTAATGTATTTCATTTTCATCATTCTAATTATTGGTTTTTCGCATATGAAATTTCATGCTACCTTAGGGAACAGATTTATATATTTGGGAACGAGAAACGAGAAAGAATGATACCATAACTACTTACAGTGTTATAGTGTATGCCTTATAGTAAGATTAGTAATGGGTTACTGAAGGGAGAGGAAAATTCCATCTTGCTGATAACAAATTTTCGATGCTTCTTGTGATATGATCACTTTTCAGTCGAGTCCTTTTTATAACAAAGAACACAATCTTTTTTTTAAACCTACATGAAATCCATAAGCGATTACAAAACACTTTTCATGGATGCTTTCGATTGTATTTGCATATCACTACCTAATATATATAAATAGGCGAGTAGAAGAAAAACTTCAATGGCTCGTAATAATAAAATTTTGTCACGCAATGTTTGCTACTGTGACGTAGCAACGATTCGAAATTGTCGTACACAACGAAATGGCAATTCATAAAGTATGATGCAGAGTACGCCTAATAAAATAACGGTGCGTGAGTAAAGAGAAAGAGAGAGAGAGAGAGAGTGACAACACGATGACGTCAAAACCGACCATTTCACGCAACCTCACTCTGTGCAATAATCCTACGGTAATTGAAATTTTTAAACAGAGGGAATTGTTGGTGGTAAAACGCGGCCCCGGCAGAGAGAAAAATATGGAGATGGGGAGGTGACGATCGATCTGCTGACAAGTTTTTTTCTTCAGGGTATGGAGGTAGTCGGGGCACACCTACGTGTCACCTTCCCATCTCTCTGCACTCCTTTTATGCAAAATAAGCAGCATCACTATCACATTAACGTTCAACTTCGCGTGAGCGCTGAATTACTCATTGAGTTTTGCCACAGTTAAACAATGTATTTAAACTTTTAATCGGTATTCGAATATTGTCTTTTGCTTCTCTATGACTAAAAATTATTTTATGATGCAAGAATTGCAATTGCTATTGCACATAAAGTTCTATTAGTATAGTGTGATACGTTTCTCCACTTCTTCCAAGAAAAACGCATTAGGATCGCTCAAACTCTCCTTTACTTGAGTTATTCCAATTGTGTGGACATTCTATGCATGTGTAATTGTGCGAAGTTAAACAGATTAAACAGATTAAACGAATGAAGTATACTTTCAGATTTGATATGTTATAACTTACATTTATTTATATTAATTTGGTCATTATTCTTTAGTTGCGGATAGCTGAAATGAGGCGAATCTTTGGTACATCGGGGAAAAAGGAGCCACAGCCAACGCTGACCGATGCAATAGCGAACATTGATTCACGTACCGAGAGCATTGAGAAAAAGATAGCTCGTTTGGATGGTGAACTTGTGAAATACAAAGATCAGATGAAAAAAATGCGAGAGGGACCGGGCAAGAATCAGTTGAAGCAAAAAGCTCTACGGTACATTAAATGATAGCTCACTCTGAATACTTTTCATTAACAGTCGATCACTCTCAGCGCATTCAGTTTGAAACACAGAAACTGTTCATGCATACCAGGTATTGCCTGTGTGCCTTTCCCAGTAAAATCGAATTGAAGATGTCGTCAGCCGCTTTTGTCTGCTCTGTTGACTGTTATCACAACTTTATTATATCATTGATTGGCTTCATTTTATCACTGATCACGTCATGTCAATGTAAACCAGACCAGAAGCGATAAAGTGACTTAATTAAAATCGTTTTTTTCAAATATCCTTATTGCTCTCTCTCTCTCTCTCTCTCTCTCTCTCTCTCT